TTGAAAAAAAAAAAAAAAGCCGGCAAGCAAAACAAATAATAGCAAATTATTACACTTTAATATTTGCATTATTGCGATTCTACATATCCAGCATGTATTATTTGCATTGAACTCTAGAAGTGATTAGTCCACAATCACAAATTCATAGATGAGTCTTTCCGTCATATTATTTTAATAAAAATATATATTTATATTACAAAATATTTTTTATTTATCTTATTTTTAAGAATGTGTAATTTTAATTTGAAAGTATGTGTTTCGTTCAGTTCAATCGTATCAATGAATGCGCTGCAGTCACCAAGTTTATATGAATACACATATTTATACATAAGTGTACTAATCAAAAGATAAAAAAATCTCGGTGGTGGGATGAATTTTTTCTTTTCAAAATTTCCTTTTCAATTTATTTACTTTTTATTGGACTCAATCCGATTATCAGTTTCCGTAATCACACGAATATATTTAAGAAAAAAAAAAGAGAGACAGAGAGACTCTTATTCATTACAAAAGGTCAGCACAACATGTTCAACGTGCCCACTACAATAACATCCATCGTCACAAAAAGTAGAAAAAGGCCTTTTTATATCCTCAAAATCCATAGCACACACACAATGTATAATGTACATATATAATGTGTCTTCACATGTAAAGTACAACTAAAAAGAAACACAAAATTGCACTTTTCTATTTCCAAAATTACTCTTTTTTCCCCTTTGTTCTGTTTTCCTAAGGAACATTAAAAATGAACAAAATGCTGCTTATAATTCCAATCCTAATTGCATCCATGCTGCAAATTCCTTTAGTAAAGTCAGAATATAGCAAAATATTCGCATGTTCTGCATGCACTTTACGTGTTGGGCGACTCGTTGTTCGACAGCGAGAACAATAATCTCTTGCCGACTCTAGCAAAGGTCGATTTTTCACCTTACGGCATGAACTTCAACGGAGGCCGACCAACGGGAAGATTTACCAACAGAAGAACGGTCGTCGATTTCATAGGTTTGCTTTTCTAGTTCACAATTTTCTTGATTGTCCCTTTCTTTCTTCGGTAGGTTTTCTGTTAGGCTGCATAATGATTAGACATTCATACTTGTATTATAAACTTGTATTATACACTAAATTTACATACTTTCACGCTCAGATGTCATACTTTAAATTACAACATAAATAAACATGTGTAATTGCTTAGTTCAAGTATGCATTTTTTTTTTTGTGAGAAATATGATTATTTAAAGGTTAGGCAGCCTTACAGTAGCATTTGTTTATTTTCTCACTTCCACTCCGCCTTTGGAATCATTATTCAAAAGAAATGATGAGTTTTATATATTCTTGTAGTTTTTGTGTTTTAAACAAAACGTATGACATTCCATAGTTCAGGACTCAAGTATGCATTTTTTTATGAGAAATATGGTTATTTAACGGTTAGGCAACCTAACAACAACATTTGTATTATTTTTTCTCATTTACACTCTGCTTTTGAGCTCATTATTCAAAAGAAATGATGGGTTTTATATATATAACTTTTTATAGATTTTGTGTTTTAATGTAATTATGTGTTAGTCA